ACCACTTGTCCTTCAACGCTTGTGAAAATGAAATGGTTAAAGGCGTATAAAAACTACCTCATGCTACCCGAAAATCATTCATAAGTCGCGCTTATAAATTTCATATATGTTGTTCATAAGTCGAGCCTTATGAAATTCTTAGGTCTATTTGACTCAGTGTAAGTCTTTATACGTTCCATTTTCCCAAGCGTTGACAGACGAGTGGTGCATACACAGGACCAGTGATGCAAAATATCATGACACTCACGTGACACTTGTCTACGCATCAACCGACTATCGCTGACAGAACGTTTTGTCACGCAGTGAGAGGTAGAGCCATGGCAAACAAAACAATCAATACTAATGGTTGCTGCTCACAAGCAAAACGTTACACTCGCTGCTGATGATGAAAAGCACAACGAAAACAGTAAATACTTCTGCACTACGATGATGAGAAAAAGCGAAACGACAGAAAAAAAATGAAAACAATACCTACGCATTCCAAGTTCGTCTCGGCACGCGCGACTGTGTGAGTTACAAACAAAGCAGGCAAACTTAAACGGAAGCTGTTGGGCTCACTCACGTAAGCAAGCATAGCAGCAACTGCTTCAAAACGAGCACAGATGAGTGTCGTGATTGTCGGGAATGACCTGATCCGTGATGGATCACAACCGAAGACAACATTCACCAGTTGCTTTTTACTTATTTCGTCAACTTGATCGATAGTCATGGAGAGAGCTTCGACGAGCACATTGATAGGAATGTACAAAGCGTTACTACCATCAGCTCTTTGACGATCGTGATTGTGATCGGTCGCAACTCTGCACAGGACCCGTAACCTCATCGTCTATGGTTCGGTTCTAGTCTGTGTTATTATTTTTTGCTCACATTATTTTTCATAAGGCAAATCAATGAAATTCATTCCGATTTCTTGTGGATAAAATTCATAAGTGGTTCTTATGGAATTCTTACGTTATTTTGCCTTAGTGTATGCTTGTCGTATAGTAGAAGTCTGGGGTATATGATCTCCAAGCAATAAATGACTGGTTCGATTGATTGATTCTAGAAAACTATTACGTCTTCACCACACCTACCGTATGCGTTTGCACCATTGAGCAATGTCAAAATTGTAAAAATTCTCTCAATTCATATTTATTCAAAGGGGGATGTTTCTCAGTGTCTTAAACTATGTTAGTCATCGATCGAGTATCCACTTGCGCATTTTACACCACTTTGGACTCTCGCGTAAAAATAATAGGGTTAACTACCCCATTTCCGGCCTATTAAGCACAACCCGCACTTAGTCTTTCTTAATCTAGCGCAGTTTAGCACTAAACGGAATGCTATTATTACTGATGGCTTCCAAATTTATGTAGCTTTCCGTACGTACCGTTCGTAAGGATTCTAAACTCGGCCTAACGCATTGAAAAAAGCCATTGAAACGCCACTGAATTCACTTTTGCCTATCGGATGATGATAAAAATTGATTCGGTCGGAGCGCTCCTTTTGTTTTTGGGAATAATAGGTGCAAACCTTCATACCAAGCGTTCTCATTGACTTCGTTCGCTAGCTTATTAACTAAAGTATCGTACCAAATGCATAATTGACTTGTTAGCTCTGAAGTCATGGATTTATTTGATGTTTTCTGCTCGATAGGCTCAAAATGGGCGATTAGGCCGAAGTAGTTCTCTACCCTAGAAGATTTTTTTTTGGTTTTTGAGAAGGCCAGAATATTGAAAAATCGGCCTCGGATCGATAGTCGGTTTTTCAAGTGATATATATACCCTTCTTTGTAAGAAGGGTAAAAGGTATAGTCTAATGCTCCTAACAAATCTCGAAAATTTAGAAATTTGGAATTTTTTAAAGATTTCTGTTGGTACAGGCTACGGAGTGTTTAATTATTTTCTTACTCCGAGATCTCATTTGTACCAAGTTACAGATTTCTTAAACAATTTCTTAATTTAATCTCTCACTGTTTACAATTCGGTCTAATAGCGTTCGGCCTGGTCGCCATAAAAATATTCAATTACGCAGTTGCTCAGTAGTTCTCAGGCTCAGCAAACATAGATTGTTAGGTAATTTTTCTAAGTACCTATCTCGATTGGAACATTCATTTTTGGTAAACCAATATTAAAAAAACCTGAATTTATCCACCTATGGTGTGATCAGACCCTTCTTACTTATTCAAGTTTATTTATTTTATTGTCATTATCAGTGACCAAGCCCCCCACCCCCGTGTCATCCAGTGACGCTACGCCACTGCCTGGGGGTGCCCGGAATATATCCGGGTGTAGTCTATTTGGTGAGGCTACCAATCACCTTATCATCGTATTTTAATGTGATTTAATGGGTTTTAATTCAATTCATATTCAAGCAACTTCCCCGGGGTACCCGGAACATGTCCAAGTGTGTCCAATGTGGTCTGGAACACTTAGCACGACTTGCATTGATCTTATTGTGTGTCGCATGATGGTTTTGATACGTTTTCCGTTAAATCCAGCGTGAAGGCCCATATTCACCGGATCTTATTCCGGCCATATCTCCGGAACCAGTTCACCAAATCGGTTGAGCGGTTGCTGAGAAACGTGAGCGCATTCATTTCGTTACATACACACACACATACACACATACACACGTACACACACACACACAGACATGTTCCGATCTCGTCGAGCTGAGTCGAATGGTATATGACACTCGGCCCTCCGGGCCTCGGATCGATAGTCGGTTTTTCAAGTGATATCTATACCCTTCTTTGTAAGAAGGGTAAAAAATATGACCAATCAATTTGCAGCTTTTTTTTATGCTTGAGACCTCTTATGTTTGCAAAGCTCGATGACTTACTGAGCAACTCAGTCATGGGAGCGGAACCGGTGGTGTAGTGGTAAGCGTGATTGTCTCTCACCCCAAAAGGCCTGAGTTCAATCCCAGTCGGTGCCGACGGGATTTTCAGAGGCATAAAATTTCTGATGACAGTTAATGTTTACAGAACATTATAAACCTGGAATTTTGTTAGATTTGAACCGGCAAAACCGGGACTTTCAACATTAAAATTCACTGGTCACCCTGTGACTGTCAAATTGACGTTTGAAGTCATTGTTAACAAATCTCGGTGAACATCGCAAAGGGTGCTATCTACTTTGATCGATTCTCTTCTGGAGAGATAGCATTCCCAACATAGTTGGGATAGTTGGGTAGGCAGGTATTTTTCTAGTGGCTAGGTCACTTTTTTCAAGACTCAAGTCACTTTTTGCACCAAAATGTCACTAAAGTCACTATTTTTAAAATCTTAGCTTGATTTGGTAACATTCATTTTGCGTGTAAAGTCTGACACGAAGAGTTGCAAATGGACCATTTGTCAAGTAGTTTTGGCGTGACTTACTACCAGCGATTTCACAAATCTAGACCAACAAATTACTATTTTGCTTTTCTCGTAGTTCTAGAAGATAAAATCTAAAAATATTTAGTTGAAGATGCTAATTTCAAATAACAGACTAAAGTGGTAATCACGCAGAAGTAATACTAAACATATAGTCAAACTAAAAATATTGTTTTATTTCGAAGTTCGAGTGGTAGTAAAAGTCATTTTCACTGCTCGAATGAAGTGGTTATTTGATGTTGACGGGATCACTAAAACTTTAACTTTTTTTCAGCTCAGTGATCTAGATATTCAAGTCTGTTAATTTCAAAATTTGTGCAGATTTTGTAATTTATTTATTTTTTTCCTTGCCTATCTTATGATTATGCTAAATCAACTGTTCAGCAGGCAACATTGGTGTTATTGGCGCTTGAACTAGAGCAGAAATGACTATATGGCTACTATGTCACATTTCACAAGGTTACCCATCTCTTAAATAATTTAATTATCTAATTTATGGTTTAACTTAAAAAACAATTTTCAGCTAAATCTCTCAGAGCAATGCAAAAAAAGGTAGAAGGCAATGAACAAAAAGTTTAGATTTTCCATAGTATTTCCTAGAGAGCGTCTATAAGAACCTCCCTAGTATTTCCCATACAACTTTCAAATGGTTTGTGCACAGTCAGTTTTTAACCAAACGAGTTCAAATGCTGGGACCAGTCTTGTAAGCGGTCACGGTAGTCGACACATTTTCTGTGATAATCGACTGCCGACACTTGCAAAACAAGCTATCATAGTATAGTACCAAACTAAAATGTAATATGACAGGCTCTGTCATACGACACTGTCATCGAAGACAGTCACAAATGTATGTATTTTAGTTTTTCTCATAATAAGAGCTGCTGATATTGTGCTTGTGTGAATTCAGAAAATAGCAAGCAATGATGCCCTACTAATAACATTTTGTACCAGAAATGGTTTAATTGCGGAATTAGAACAAAGTCACACATGTCATGTCATAGTTATTCGATAATGTTCATTTCGCTTGAATTTTATTCTACCGGTTGTGTTGTGTGATAGAGACGACGGTAGAGCATGAGTGTACGAATACAAACAGACTTCACGCACGGCAACGAAGCAAGTGTTGTAAAAAAAACGTCAACTGTTTCAACCCCTGGTTGAGACGCTTATCATGATCCGATTTGGAACATTAACCCAAGAGCAGTCGCGTCAAATCACCGAAAAATGAGCGGTATTTTTGCTACTGAATAATAAAGACATTTTTTTTCATTATTGATTCGGGTTTTAACTGTATTTCAAGGTCAACTCCTCTTCTTTCAAGTGATTTAATAACATTTTCAAAATATTCGTGCACTCAATGGAAGTTTATAGCATTGTGGAGCGAAAATTTCAAATTTCGCAACAGTCTACTGTATATCCTTAGAAAGCTCTCAATTACTTAAATGAGGATAGGGTTAATGATGCAGTTCGTACGTGTCAAACATAATAAGTAGAAGAACATGAAGTTATGAATTCCATATTGTTAAGAACTTGTTCACAACGGTTTGCTTGAATCTGGTTGGATCATACACTTTAACATGTCTTGATGTAATTTACGTCATCGCTCAACAAATCACAGCTATCACGTATGCTTATTGCTTACCCTCAAACAATACTGCAATCCATCTGCCACGTCAGCTTCACCACGGCAACGTTCTCGCACTTATTAAATCCAGATCCTTGTCGGGAACATTTGTCTATTTCACTCAACAGAAACACGATAATAAAATTCCTTCCAGTTGCTTCCGAATTCGGCTTTCCTAGTATATATCATATAGCCCATGGGAGCCAACGAGTAGAATCGCATATAGGATTTCCCATAATTCACTTTGATCCTGCGAAGTTGGTGCTGGTGATGGGAGATTCCACTCGTTTTTCACGACCACAACGACTTCGACGGCTTCATTGCTTCGAGTGACATTATTTTTTTTTTATAAGCAAGCAATAAAATTCACATTCCGAAATAAGGCTGCGTTCCAACGGTAGACTCCTAAACCATGGTTATGAAATTCCCATGTCTACCACATCACTGAAGCTAAATATTAAATTGCACGCACTGTGGGAGGTACATCGGTCGGCGTCGTATTGTCGCCTAATGCATAAACCACCGAAGTTCAGTAGTACTAAATAGCGAAGCGTTGCGGATTTTTCTATTAACATACACTCTGCTGCCACGTTATATCCCAATGGTCGTCAAATACGAGTTCTGCTGTTCACGGATACGAAATACAATCTAAACTCAAAAGTTCTATCCCTCACTCATTACCAACGAAGACGTAAATAACAATCGCATTTGTCACCAGTGGTGTTAGATTTTTCTCTTTTATCTCCTCGATTTCCCGCAATCAATCGAGCCACACTGAGGCACCGACTCATCCGCTGAGACTGTTGCTGCGAGGGTACAAATCCAAACCGAAATCCTCTACGGCTTCAAGTCCACTTCAAACTACTCCAAAATGAGAAGAAAGCACATCCGTACCGGGCGGAACCTAGCGCGAAACTGAAGTGTGCTACTCCTACGTTACTGATTGACTATTGCACTTGTTGAAGCTGGAGTCGGTCCGCTAGGGCCCACTAGCACCAGCTATGCAGCAATCCGAAGAACCATTTGTTTTGACCTGCGCCTTCGTAGATGCGCACAGAATTCCACCGGATCACACCTTGGAAAAATACGTTACAGCTGTGAATTAAAACATATGGTCTCTCAAACCAGAATGAAATACTGTTTGACGGTTATCTGTATTCGTCCGTCACATAGTGGCATTTCGGAATAAATCATCCTTCTATCAATCTGGTAGTCCCAATAAAAACTTGCTCCATGAATCAACACATAACTCTGCCGATCAACAAATACGACGGCATTTTCAAAGCGTGACAATAAAGCTGTTTTATGTGAGTAATTGTGTTGGTGGTGCAAGCACGCGGATATATCTAAATTAGTTTTCCTCAAAATTAAATTCCTAACGAAGCGCCAGCAATCTTGGCATACAGATAGCCATTCGGCACGATTCCCACGGTGATAACGAATCACTATGCCTCGCCGACAAAGGAACGCATATTTTCCGGATAGTTGCGCTTTAGATATTAGTGTTTACGCTTGTTCTATGAAAAGGGAATTTTCCATTAAGCCTTTTTATGGCTTGATTAGTTCCGGTCGTAAGATATACGGTATAGGATAGAATGTAGGGTTGTAGTGGCGAAAGGGAAGTTCATAAGTGATTACTGGAATTCTAAACTTTTATTAATTAAACTCTGGGATTTCCGGAATGTGGACTGTGAGCTTCCCGGCACCGAGCTAGGCACTAATTAGCAAATAAAATAATAACTAGCCAGCGTAGCTGTTGTTGAAGGCTAATATGCTTACAAAACCAAGAAAAAGCAACCACTTGTGCTCAAGGTTCCGGAGTATCCAGTGTTATAATTCAGCTCAGGAATTGAGGAGCAACAATAGAAGATAATCTAAAGGGCCACGCACAATGGATATGTTTACGTTCCGTTGACGTAAAGTTGACAGATAACCCACACTTTCAGAATGTATTGTCTTGTTTGGTTGTAGTTTACTGAAATCTCAACAAGTGAACGTTTGGTAAAACTTTGAATTTAATTTTAAAGCCTATTTTGTACAAAAATCATTTCAAAACACGTTCAATCTTATTCGACTGATCAATTCATGTAATTGTAGTGGTGATTTAGTTTAAAAGTAGCTTTAAAACAATTAATCAAAAAAAATGGCTGATTTTTGCAACAGATGTAGCTAGAAAAAAATGTTACGGCGATTTATGTTGTATGCAGAAATCCAGAAAATGTTCATTTTAACGAAAGATGAACAAATATTTGGTACAGGTTCTGGGAAAAAATTTCACGCCTACATCCAATTGGTGGATGTAAGATTTGCTTACGATTATGCGGGATTCATCATCGCAGGATGTTAGTAGATACCGTATGAACGGAGGATGAAATACACCGAGCTGCGGTTCAATGCAAGAAAATTTTAGACCGAAAAATGTGAAGTGTATAAGTGAAAGAAAATAATTATAACGAAAAAAAAAGATGCCGACTGGACTCGAACCAAGGAAGATGCGATTATCAGACCTGTGATTTCTCCACTGCTTCGGATCATGTATAGGCTAAAAGCGAATAAGAAGCGCTCATACCACGATCATTTGATTTCACATGCTTTTTCTGCTTAAGGGGAAATGGAGAGAATCGTATTAAGTGTCGTATTAAGTGTGTGCGTCGTTCAACAATGTTATAAATAAAAAGCTTGGTGGTATTGTCGAAAGCGTAGACACTAAACTCAAATTTGAGTCGTTCTCATTCGCCGTGCAGAACATGAAATAAAAAGATTAAAAATCACTGCATCATCTGCATGGCCATTAAAGTGATGCAAAATTTGAAATTTTCGCTCCACAGTACTTAAACGATTCCAAATCGGATCCTGAATAACTTCTCAAAATTTGAACCCATTTGGTGAGAAACTGAGATGGCACAAACCATTTGAAGTTTGTATGGGAATTACTATGGTAAAACCAAGATTTTTGTTCATGTCTATCTAATAATTCACCATATAGGTCTGCTTCTAAAGCTTTCAAATGTACTTGTAAGAAATTTTCCCAGCTACAACTTAGCTGAAGACCACTTTTTGATTAAATGCAAGAATCGAAAGTTATCAATGGTTCAATGCGCTGATGTCTTATGATCATGCTCAATCAACTGCTCAGCAGGCAACATTGGTGTTTCTGGGGCGTTGAATAGGACACAAAAATCATGGCTACTATGTCACACTGCAAAATACAGTGTTGCCTACAGAGCAGCTGCTTGATCATGTCATAAGTTTACCAATCTCTTAAATAATTAATAACTTTTTCCTGTCTCGTTTTACATAGAAACGATCTTCAGCAAAGTTGTAGCTGAGAAAATTTTCTATAAGAATGGCTGTCGAACTGTTTCGCAGCTCAATATGGAAAAAGACTAGAAGGCAATGAACAAAAAGTTGAGATTTCCCATAGTAATTTACATGTAAACTTCAAATGGCTTGTGCGAAGTCTGTTTCTAACCAAATGAATTGTAACTTTGGGAGGCTAGTCAGGACCCGATTTGAAACCATTTAAGCACTGTGGAGCGAAAAAGTCAAATTTTGCATCAGTCTAATGGCCATCTTATATCATTATCTGCGGTATTCGCTGCGTAGCATGATAGGAAATGCAACTAACATTGAATGTAATAAATTTTTGGTTTGCGTGCAGCTATAAATCCGGAAAATGTTGATTTTAACAAAATATGGACCTTTTCTGAACGAATGTGTTGGTACAGGTGCTGGGTCACTTTTTTACGCGCTACTGTTTTCGCTTCCAAAATCGATAATTTTGGCAAATCTCCATAATCCGTGCTGTGCACCAATGCTACCGACACCAGGGAGGCAGCTTCCACACCTGGAACCTACATATCGACCCATCAGCTCATGAACCGGGGACCAACGGCTTTACTTCCCTTCCGAAGGAAGACGTGATCAGAGATGTTATGCCTCACAACCAGTGATGCAAAATATCATGAAACTCACTCGACACTCGTCAACGCATCAACCGACTATTGCTGACAGAACGTTTTGTCACGCAGTGAGAGGTAGAGCCATGGCAAACAACAATCACCAATAATGGTCGCTTCTCACAGGCAAAACGTAACACTCGCTGCTGATGATGAAAAGCACAACGAAAACAGTGAAGACTTCTGCAGTACGATCAACCGGTGGAAACTAACGATTTTAAATTGGCTCACTACTTGAGTAGCCTATTGGTCCCAAACAAATCGATTAACGTACTACACTATGTTTGTTTTGATTCGCTATGAAAGTTTGACCGATGAAATGAGGGGTTCGCACTCAGATAAGCATGCAAAGCAGCAACTGCTTCAAAACGAGCACAGATGAGTGTCGTGATTGTCAGGAATGATCAGATGGGTGATGAATCACCACCGCTGACGACATTCACTAGTTGCTTTTTACTTCTTTCGTCAACTTGATGGATGGTCATGGAGAGTGCTTCGACAAGCACGTTGATAGGAATGTACCAAGCGTCACTACCATCAGCTGTTTGACTATCGTGATTGTGATAGGTCACAACTCTGTTCAGAACATCCCGGCGGCGCGGACTGGGATTGAACCCAGGTCTGCTGGGGTGAGAGGCAATCACGCTTACCTCTACACCACCGGCGACGCTATTCGATAAATTATTTTTCTGGTTAACTTTGTCTCCATAGGAAGAGGGCGTCATGCTGCCAGTATTGGTGCGATTAAAACTGACAGCATATAGTAATCCATCAAATTGAACTGCCTCAATTTGCCTGTTGAAATTTCGGAAAAATTACGGCTTCGCTGCATTCTAGCACCTCAGTTGGCGTCTGCAAACAAGTTTTCAATCGTTGAAAGAAAGACGAACGAAGCGACGGGAGAAAGAGAGACCTCTTTCTCCCGTCGCTTCGTTCGTCTTTCTTTCAAGCTTCGATGAAGCGGACGATTGGAAAAGCGCCCGATTTTGATCGTTTCGTCTTTCATGAAACACATCAACTGAAAATGAAAATACATATTTCTCGCGTAACATTTGAAAAAGGGCCTATCCTCGTTGATCGCTTCTCTTCATCGACTTTCTCTTTGGTTTACCACGCCAACATAAACGAATTTCTCGCTAAGGTCACAGCACAATTCGACAGAAGATGATGTTAGCTGGCGCCTGAAGCAACACACTCAATAAGAAATTAATTTGCAGTCGGGTTATTCGCAAAAAAGAAAATCGATGAAGAGAATCGATCAACAATGATAGGCCCTTTTCTCGTGTTGCGCGAGATTTAACGCATTTCTCAGCTGAAAACAGTCGAAGATTACGCGTAATATGTTTAATTTATATTCTATCTGCATATTTATCTATAAAAAGTAACGAAAATGGGACATAATGAATATTAAACAAATTGACAGAGCAGGTGACAGTGTCGATTAAAGGGATTGAAAGCCATAATGAGGCTTAGTTTCAACTCGAACATCGACGTTACTTTCATTGAAAGGGGTGACCAAAGCAAAGACGATAAAATCAGCAGCAAGTCTTTCGTTCAAAGCGTGCTTCTTTTTCATTTTTGTTTCGTGCTGATAGTCTAGCTAGGCGTTATAGAAATGGTGCGATAAACACGTTGCATGCACGAAACAAAACTCGAGTTCATTTAAGAGCTTCGGAAACGTAGAGCCCTGCACGGGATTCAGAGCAGAGCAAAACAGAAGATCGCCACCTAGGAAGAATAAGAAGCGATAAAGACCCCACTCGATCGGATCAAACACTGTGTCCGAATAAATTTAATTCAATTGCTTTTTTTCATCGTTGCTTGACTTTGTAGAATTAAGCGTGAAACAGGTGGGTCTAAACAATAAACGAAAGGAAACAAAAATCACC